GCGTAAAAGTGTAGTTACATGTTGCGTGTTGCGTGTATCCGCTGTGAGAGATTGACTGACGGATGCGTCAGCCGCCCAGCCTGCCTGATTGCCAGGCTCTGTCTGTCTGCCTGTCTGTCTCCCTTTCCCCTACAGGTATACATGCTATTGGGTAGGTGAGGGATTGGCGGCCCGCCCAGTCGGTGGCGCGGCCGCAAATTGTTCCTCCGTGCGTCTTTTTCTATTTATGTGCAGCGATGTGGTCATCCATCCATCCATCCACCCTCTCTCAGTCCCTCTGTCTGCAGTAGTCAGTCAGGCTATTGCTCATCAATTTCTTACTCATCCACAGAGAGGCAGGCAGAATGGCAGGCACCTCGTTTCTTGGCCCACCCCATCCACTGTAATACGTGTGCGTGTGCGTGTGCGTGTGTGTGCGCGTGTGCGGTTTGACGATTCCCCTCCCCTCGCCCCTTTCTCCGCCCGTCCGTGGTCGTCTTAGTGTTTGCCGGCGTGAGCCGGCTGTATAGAAAAAGGCGTATGCGGGTATGCGTGTATGCGTGTGGGAGGGGTGGGTGGGCCCGGATACAGGGAATACCATGGCACTTGTCTGTAGCGGTAACCATAGCCTTGCCTGTACAATCGACTGCTGGATGGACGGATGGATGAATGGATGGATGGACGGCCTCAATGCGGGGCTTGCTGGCTTTGCCTACTGGAGCGATCGATCGATGGGCCGATGGATGAACTGACACCTGAAGGAAGTGTGGCAGAGGGACGGGGGGAGGGATTATTGTTTTTTGCAGTGGAAGTGAAAGAGGGGAGGGAGGGGGGAGTGGGTGGGAGAAGATCGGCACACACACATACAGACACACAGACGTATTTTTCCGCCCCTATCTCTGAGTTATCGTTGCCGCATAACATACATACATACGTAAGGGCAATTATGCATCGATTCACATTTTCTTCCCGGCCGTGCGCTCACCTGCCTGCCTCCCTGCCATGGGTGAGGGGTGGGCGACATGGGTCATTTTCAGTGAGGGCACTTTTGTCGACTGGATCAATCTATCAATATGTCTGTCTGTCTGTCTGTGAGTGTGTGTACAGACAGACAGGTGGGTGTGGTGTGCCGGGCGGGGCGGGGCTTGCGCGTATCGGCCCATCAATCAGACACGAATCGCCAGACCAACAGACAGACACTCTCTCTACCTCTTCAACTCAGTTTTTGTCCTTGTTGTCCGCTTGATTGGAACGCCTTGCAACCGTCCCCACACGGACACACACGCACAAACGTCCAACCAAGCCTACGCATCACCTCATATGCACATCCGTCCATCCCTCCAGCCTAGAACCGATCTGCATCCACCACTACCACCTAGTACCCCATTATCACCTTGGTCTCCCTCACGTCGTCGGACAGCCGCAGCCGCCCAAGAGTGCGCCGCAGCCTCTCCTGGGTGATGCGGTCGCCATCCGTCGGGCGGCCAGCGCACCTCCAGGCTGACAACGAACATCATGATACACACACCATACGGTGTGGTGGGCTGTGCTGTAGGGTGATGTGTGTGCCTTCTACTGAACTCGGCAGTAGAACTCGGCCCCCTAAACCATCCACACACACATACACATCACACGAGTGGCCACAATTAAGGCCCTCCTCCCCTCTCCCCATGTGTGCAACACAGCCGTCCACTTACGGATGGGTGCAGGTGTTGATCACATTCTGGACGAACGCCCTGTACGCGTTGTCCACCTGGCTGCCATTCAGCCGTGGCCATATTGCGCCGGCTCGTGTGGGTACGCCCCCATACCCACGGGCCGCAATGCCCGCCGCTGCGCGTTGGTGAGGCCGAACAGCTGCTGCACCGTCCCGAATCGGCCCGGGCAGGCGGAGGTCCGGGCCACCCTCATGCGCACGTGCCACCTGCCGCCTTGTTGGTAGAGGTTCACGGTCCCGTTGTTGATGAGCGGCTGGCCGGGTGCGGCCTGGATGAGCCGGCAGATGGGCACGATGCAGCATTTGGTCCACACGTGCAGTCGGATGCGCAGCTCCGGCTGGGGGGCCCAGATGGGGATCAGCGTGTGGATATACAGCCACTCGTACTGACAGAGAGAAAGGGACCACACACAGCAGACACACAGACAGGGAGTGATCAGAGTGCATGCATGTGTGTATCTGGTGCGTCGTTTCTGTGCTTACGTTCCACTCTGCTGTGGTGCGCAACTCGTTGTTGGTCAACTGGAGGTCCTGCGTGACGATGGGAATGTAGTACTCGGGCAGCACGGTGTACTGCACCACACACAAGACCCACACACAAACACACCAGAGACACATTGGCAGATGCACAGATGCATCAAACGCATCCTGGCCCCTCCACCCTCCCTCCTATCCCTGTGTGCGACCCGCCCGGCTTACGTGGAGGTTTTCGTGATGGTCTCGAACGCTAAACCACAGCAGGTGGTGAAACACGATGCCCGGCGTCAGCCGTATCCCAGTGCTGGTCGCCATGTCCAGATGCGGGAAGGCATCTGGATGGTTGGCGACCCTCGCCAGGCATCGGGCCGCTATCCTGCCGGCGTCCGCCGGCAGGCGGGCCATAGGGGGGGTGGGGAGGGGGCTCGGACGTCGAGCGACGAGCCACGGGAACTCACTTTTTTTTGGAATCACGAAATCACAGCATAGAAATCAGACCTTGTTGTCGTCACAGCGCGCTGACCATTGAGAGTGAGAGGACGTCGTTTGGCACACGTAAAGAGTGGCCTTTGGCCGTGTTTTTGCGCCCCCGATTGACTCTCTGGAATCACTGGTTGTCGAGATATGAATCAGTGCATGACCCTAAATCATGGAATCACCCGATGGCCGGAATCACCTCTCTCAGACGGGGTTAACGATTTCGATTTCTGATTCTGATTCAATGATTTCTCTCTGGGGTTTAGGGTTAGGAATTAGGGTCTTATTTCGTGAAACCGCTCTCTTAAACCCTAGAGGTCAAATCAGAACCAAAATCACTTCGCCAGTGGGGGGTAACGATTTCGATTTCTGATTCCGTGATTCCAGGTGCTGCACAATAGAAATCAGAGCCGGTTTCTATATGATCACTGTGTGATTCCGGATGCAGAGTGGGTTCCCGTAGGCGACGAGGCAGGGGCGACGAAATGTGCAAAGAATGCACTTATTGGATGGCCTTGTGGCCGAGGGCCGATAGAGGGCGGATGGTATGCTAGTTTCCTGCTTTACGTTCTTCCTCTCCCCCATCGTGAGCTTGCAGCACATCTTTTGGCCCTGCCCTAAGCGAATGGGGCAGAAGCGGTGCTGCGTCAGATCGGTGGGTCGGCTGCCTTCCACAAGCAAAGCAATTCATGAATGCGCCATCCACTGTGACACTGTAAGCAGTTGTGTGTGTGTGTGTGCTCTTTCTTGTCTGCAGTTACTGTTGCGTCCGCCATGACTCAGCCTCGGCCCAGCAGCAGAAGCAGCGACCTGGACTCGCCCGTCATCAACGGCGAGGCCGTCCGCTGCATCTTCGGTGACTCGCGAGTTCGGCTGCTCAAGGTCAAGGACGTCGGCAGCCTTAGAGTGGCGGCCCGCCACCACAGCCTCGTCGACTTCCCTCCCAATGCCCTCCGCACCCGACTCACCCACTCGCTGCATCGAATTCGGCTCGCCGACGGCACACGGCTCGACGCAGTGCTGGCCTTCGACGCCCAGACGGTGTCTGAGCCACGGGTGCTGCTAGCGGCCATGTGGCTGGTGGAGGAGCAGACGTGGGACGAGGTGACGGACATACTGCGGCTGGCGGCGCAGTGCGGCCGCTGCACGCTGCCGGTGTGGCTGACTGCCGACGACATCAACAGACACGCCAGCAAGACGGTGAGACGCACACAAAGGGGCGGGAGGGCATAGAGAGGACCTCATTCATTCTTCTCTCTCTCTCTCTCTCTCTGTGTGTGTGTGTGTGTGTGTGCGTGTGTGGTTGTGTAGGTGTATTTGGCCATTCCTCGTGTGTTGGCTCAGCTCAAGATGGTCGGCCCCTACATCGATTTAAGCGACGGCGTGACCTTCCAGCTGTTCCACCACGGCAACAGACTGAGGGCCATCAAGGACCAGTACGGCTTCGAGATGACCATCGACCCGTCCCTCCCTCCCAACCACCCCTACCAGCAGCACCGACAGCCGCATGACCCGCCCGTCCGCAGCAGAATAGAATATCGGTCTGCGGGCTGGCGGCCGCAGCCGCTGGGACTGCTGGGTCCTCTCGACTACTCGTCTGTATCGTCGTTTGTCAAGAGCATCGTCCTCAACCACTTCGTGTGGACTCACCAGGTCAACAGCACTTACCGTTCTGTCGACAGGTCAGGGTTGGGCATCACCCTGTGTGGGCATTGTCATCTGTGTGTGTCCTTCACCGGTCAGGCATGTCGACAACAACCGGCTGCACACCATCATGCCACAGTCCCCACACACACCAGTGGAGGGATGCACCACAACGGCATCAGGCCGCTTCTCCCGTGACCGCTTTGCTTATCGTCGTCTCGTCCTAACCGACGCCAGCCACTCATTCCTGGCATGGATCGAGATCACGGAAGCCTCCGCCTGTCAGCCCAGCACAGCACGCAACAGAGAAGGGGAAGAGGGTGAGAAACCACTTTAGTGTGTTTCCTCTCCTGTCATTCGCTTGCAGTGGGTGTGAGAGTTGCGACGACCGAGTCGGCTGTGTCTGGTGTGGGTGGTGCTTGGGGTGGTGCCTTCAAGGACCGCTTCCCTCAGACCACTCGGCTGGCGCGTGCGGTGCTGGGGGCCGTCATCTCAGCCAGGATCTTCGGCCAATAGACAGCTGAGGTGTGCACCAAACACGACTGACACGAGCCGCAGATACAGATGCACACGTACACGACGCCCGCAATGTTGTCTGTCTTTCCGTGTGTGTGTCAGGCTGGGCGGAGCCTTTGCGCACCGGCCGGTCTCTGTCCATCTGCCTGCCTGCTAATGCGCTGCACGATATGCGTGTGTGCATTTATTGTCAGTGGCTGGCTGCCGTGACCCATTGCTTGCTCCACACAAACATCCAGACGTACACACATACAGACACGGCGGTGTGTGTTTCACACTCGCTGCCCATCCACATCCACACATCACAGCCGACAGACAGACACACAGACAGACAGGCTGTTCCCATGCAGTCGGCCATTTTGCCTGCTTGTGGGCGCACGGCGGTTGATTGATGCGTGTGGCTGGTGGGTGGTGGCTGGTGGGTCGGCGGGAGGGTTACCTTACAATCTCTCTCTGTGTGTGTCGTCCTGACATCATGCTGTTTGTGTGTGACTCCATGCATGGCACTCGGTCGCCGAGGCGCTTTTGCTGAACGCTTTCATGCACACACATCCATAGATACTGGAGCGATGTGCTCCAATCCCTTTTTCTCGTGCAGTGCAGACAAACGTCATATGCATGTGGTGGGTGGGCGAGCGGGTGGGAGCCATGTCATGTGCCTTGCCCCATGTCGGCCCCTTCCTCCTCCCTGTACAGGTATACAGTCACTCGCTGCATCCAATGCGATCCGATCCATGGCTCAATCCTCTCTCTATTGTTGCCTGTGGCCTGATGCGATGCATGTGGTCGCGTTGATGATGATTGGCCTGTCGGCGGACCCATATGCATGCCGGTGGGTCGGCGGCACCATACGCATGCGTATGCCGATCATATGCGGATCAATCAATCACACACATGTCTGTCATTCCACTGACAGCTGTGCACATGAAAGGATGAATCGATGCCAGCCATCATCACACCACACCCACTCTCACACAAGCAAGCTACATCGGCCGCAAGTCCACCAGACTCGCCTATCTGACACACAGGATGGATACACAACAGAGAGACAGGGTGAGATGCGCACCTACTTTGGTCACGTTGTCTGGCTGCTGATGGCCTGCTCTTCTCTCGAAGCTCACTTCCCTCACCTGATTGACAGACAGCTGGCGGTCAGGTGCGCCGCTCGACTAACAAGGTGCGCCTGAATATGCTGAGCTGGTACGGGCCGGCATTGATGTTGAGGCCTTTCACCAGGAAGCGCTGGCGAAAATCATCCATCATGCCAGGGCACAGCTGCACTGTGCTCTTCGTGTGGCCCTGTCATGGGACAAGAGGCATACTATGCGTCGGGCGCGGCATGTTATGTGTCGGGCACCTTGAGCTTGCTGGTGAACGAGACCACCGTGGCCATCACACCATTGTAAAACGCCTCCAACCGGTCATCCGCTACCATGCCTGAAGCAAACACACAAACCATAGCACCGTACACACACAGATGCCACGCCGACCAGCTCTCCCACTCATTCCCGTTAGTTCCTCCTCACCTAATACGTCAACACACACTTCAGCAATCGGCGGCAACTGGTGGATGTCCGGATCCCACAGACAGGGGCTCGCAGGATTGTCCGTAGATATTGCAAGTGCCCCTGGCGGCAGGGTGAGACCCACATACGACAGGCTCTTCTCCGCCCGCCCCCTGCTCTCCCGCGCCGTCTGCAGCCGCTCGAGGAACCGCCACACCTCACGAACTGGTGCGGTCAGGGTCTCACCCAACCGATGTGGTGCCTCGATGCGCGCCAGGTTGGGCATCTTGGAGGCGATATCGACTGCGCGATTCTTCTTGTCGCTGTCGGCCAGTGCATCGCCGACCAGCCGTAGGGTGTGGGCGGCGGCGAATGCGTCGTCCGTGATGGCGTTGGGGGTGGTCTCGTGACACCCGCTGTATGTCACGGTGCCGGCAGTCTTGGCGTAGTCGACGATGAGCTTCTGGGCGGGGAGGGTGCCGGTGCTGCTGCTGAGCGAGAGAAGCTCCGCGTCAATGCGTCCAGATGTGGAATCGTCGGTGGGTGCGAAGACCTCCTCCCAGACTACTTCGGGAGCCGCAACGGCCTCACTGATAGTACACGAAGCACAGACATGTGTTGCACCGTCCGTCATTACCCCTCTCTCTTTCTGCATCCTTACATGAGCCGGGCAGCGCTCTCCGACCACGTCACAGCACCGTCACGACTCGGCATACGCCTCACGGTGATCTTGAGTTCGCGAACAGACCTCTTGACGCCCCTCGCCACCATCACCTCACGCAGCCTGTCGATCCCGACCTTGTCAGTTTCCATCCACACGGCCTCATCCATAGATACACCTCGCAGTGTGCGCAGCGCCGCCAGCGACTTGCCGTCGGCGGGCAGCGCGCTCAGCAGACCTTCCGTGGTGGTGAAGTAGATGCGCTTGAGGTCCAGCACCTCAATGGCGTCACACCCGCCAACCCACGCCTCCAGGCCGTCCCACTCCTCCTCGTCATACGATGACAGATCCAAATCGGTCCCGACGATGAGGGTCGTGACGGCAGGGGTGCGCCACTGGCGGTCTGCGCGAGCCGAGATGCACTCGAGGGGGATGTTGTCGACGGTCTTGAGTGCTGGGAGGTGGATGGGGGCGGGGGGGGCGGGGGGAAGGTCAAATGAGGGGGGTAAGCGATGTGAATGCTGTCATCGAGTTTGACGTCCTCGAATGACAGCACCTCTAATGTGCCGTCATCAGCCGACTGCCCGCTGCCGTCAGCTTGCCCTGCCGCAGCAGCAGCTGTCCCCTCCCCTCCCTCCCTCTCGCGCTTCTTTTTGGCTGCGATGGCTGCTCGGCCGCTGGCGTGGCCTTCTACCAGCGCCACCCACGTCCCCAGACACCAACACTCGCAATCCTCGGGGTAGCGGTGCTTGATCTCTCTGATGTTGGTCGCCCTCTGCCCCAACCTCTGCGCCACGGCCAGTGGCATGGCCGCCCACATACGCCTGGCCTTGTCGTCCTCACAGTCGATGACCGGGTTGGTGTAGTTGGCGGCCGATTGGTTGAAAAGGCGCGTGCCGAGGGGTCGGCGGTAGTGTGTCAGCTCCCAGGGCTGCAGGTGGCCGAACACGTTGGAGAGCTCATCACGGGACAGACGGCGACGGGCCTGAGGGCAAAGAGGGAGGGCATCAATAGGCTAAGTTTTTTTCTGTATGAGATCTATCCTGTTGTCATTCCTACCGGTCCTTCGTAGACGGAAGGTGGGATGCTGCTCCGATGCACCAGACGATACGATGATCGCCGCGCCTGTGACCAACACACGAGACGGAATGGACACCATGCTCTCGTCTGACAATTGCGGGTGGATGATGTGTACCTGTGGCTGTTGGTCGGTCCCTGCAGCTGCCGAGCTATTGGCTGGTGGCGGCGTGGGGGCGGCCGCCAGAGCATCCACGGCTCCCGAGAGGCCCGACTCGACAGACGACAGCTGAGTGACGGCGGCGTTGACATAAGACTCCAGAAAGGACAGCTGAGTGTGCACCAGCAGCGACTCATGGGACGATGCCTGCGACCGAAGCGCACCAAACCATGTGCCGTGACCTGCTGGCTAGTGCGGACTCTGCGTGTACCTCGGCAGGGTGATTGGCAGGGTCCAGCTGATTGATCTTCGATAGACGAGCACCAACCTGATGCAGCCGCCGAGAAATCAAGGGAAAGAACCATCAACACAGCGAAAGAGAGTGTGGCGCTGGGCCTGTCAGGGGCATCAATCACAGCATACCTTCGAGTGGAGCTGCCGCAGCTGGTCCAGGCCCTGCTCCACACGCGCCGCCTGCTCCTTCAACTAAACACAGCACAGAGCACACAACACACAACAGCTGTTGGATGGGAGTTGCTGGCTTGTCTTGTTCGTCAGGCCGCCACCCACCTGAGCTACATCCATGGCGCCGATCACTTGTTGCTATCAGCAGCAGTCCGCATGAACAACTTAACAAGCCTGCAACCATAACACACAGCACAGGACCGAATCAGACCGGCGGAAAGTATTGTGAAAGCGCCGTTTCTCGGTCTGAATTCTCATTTCTGTGCTCGTGTGTCGCCATCTCCCTGTGAGCCCTCGAGCCCTCCCGCGCCATGCGCTCACCTGGTCAGTAGCCACGGCAAATCGCTCCTCAGCCACAAAGGTGACCAAAAACACCAAAACAGCAGAAATTGATGAGTGCGAGGAGTGCGAGGATAATTCATAGGGTTTTCTGGGGCTTCAGGGTATGAACCCGGCAGATCGCAGGTTCCCTCCTTTCGAACGGCTGAATTTGCTTCATTGCGTCAGATCGGTAGGTCGTCTGCATTCCACCAGCAAAGCAATTCATGAATGCGTCATCCCACACTGTCGCAGCGGTTGTGTGTGTGCTATTTCCTGTCTGTGTCTGTTTCACTTACTCTACGTGTTACTCGTGTCAGCCATGACTCGGCCTCGGCCCAGCAGCAGGAGCAGCGACCTGGACTCGCCCGTCATCAACGGCGAGGCCGTCCGCTGCATCTTCGGTGACTCGCGAGTTCGGCTGCTCAAGGTCAAGGACGTCGGCAGCCTCAGAGTGGCGGCCCGCCACCACAGCCGCATCGACTTCCCTCCCAATGCACTCCGCACCCGACTCACCCACTCCCTGCACCGAATTCGGCTCGCCGACGGCACATGGCTCGACACAGTGCTGGCCTTCGACGCCCAGACGGTGTCTGAGCCACGTGTGCTGCTGGCGGCCATGTGGCTGGTGGAGGAGCAGACGTGGGACGAGGTCGTCGACATACTGCGGCTGGCGGCGCAGTGCGGCCGGTGCACCCTGCCGGTGCGGCTGACTGCTGACGACATCAACAGCCACGCCAACAAGACGGTGAGACGCACACACAGGGGCGGGAGGGCAACGAGAGGGCCTCATTCATTCTTCTCTGTGCGTGTGTGGTCGTGTAGGCGTATTTGGCCGCTCCTCGTGTGTTGGCTCAGCTCAAGATGGTCGGCCCCCACATCGACTTCGGCAACGGCGTGACCTTCCAGCTGTTCCAACACGGCGACACACTGCGGGCCGTCAAGGATCAGGACGGCTTCGAGATCGACATCGACCCGCCCCTCCCTGCCAACCACCCCTACCAACAGCACCGACAAGCGCATGACCCGCCAGTCCGCAGCAGGATCCAATATGATCCGCTCGAGGGCTGGCGGCTGCTGGGTGCTCGTGACTACTCGTCCGTGTCGTCGTTGGTCAAGAGCACCATCCTTCGGCACTTCGCAGCCACTCACCAGTACAACTTCACCAGCCGTACAATCAACAGGTGAGGCGGGGCATCACTCCGTGTGGGCATTGTCATGACACTCGAGTGCACGTTGTGTGTGTGTGTCAGGCATGTTGACAACGACCGGCTGGACACCCTGCTTACACAGTCCCCCCACACACCAGTGGAGGGATGCACCACAACGACATCATTCAGCATTGGCGGCGAACCCTTTCGTCATCTCGTCCTGACCAATGCCGGCCACCCGTTCGTCGCATGGATCGCCATCAGGGATGCCCAGTACCCCGACAACACCGGTCAGCCCAGCACGGCACAGCCCATGCGCACAGACACAAAGCGCTCACTCTCATCTGCTGTGCTCTATCCTGTCATTCCTTCGCAGTGCTACTGTGGGTCGAGACGACCGAGTCCGCTGTGTCTGGTAGGGGTGGTGCCTTCAGGGACCGCTTCCCAGTGACCACCCGGCTGGCGCGGGCGGTGCTGGGGCCCATCATCTCACAGAGGACCTTCGACCGATAAACAGCTGAGGTATGTTTGTATCAAACACGGCTGACACGAGAAGCAGATCCCACACCACATACGCAATGGTGTCTCTCTGTGCGGTTCCAGCTGTGTGTCAG